AGAAACTGTGCATGATTGAACGTTATCGTATCCTGCTGAACTGAGGTAACCAGCCAGACAAGGCCTATCTGTTATGAGTTGGCTATAAACGGGCGAATTCTGGTTCTGCAGAGATAATTAATCACCCCATATCTAGCAAGTTTTGTTCAAAAATACTAGTATAAAAAAAAATAATAAAAAAATAATAATAATAAAAAAAGTAGAATTTATTAGGAACTGATTCCAATTGAATTACTTCGGGCCCTGATGGACTAGAGAAAGGGATGAAAGTGTGGGATGTGACGAGCTTTCCGCTGACGATGATCGCACGCAAAAAGGAACTGTTGAGACGATCARTCCGGGGTCGCGTCTGAGTCCCATCGTAACTCGACCTCCCAGTACCAAGGCACTGCGAGACAGAGTGATAAAGCAATGGTCTGCCAGATGRCTTTTGCTTAATTAATTGTCATTGAATCAACGTACGCGAGTGTATTAAGAAAAGAGGGGGGAAAGAGTGTGTTGAAGAGAGTAAACAGAGAAAGAGTGAACAGAAAGAGGAAGGGGGGAGGACATTCGAACACGGAGAGGGAAAGCGCGAAGAAACGGGTCACCGACCAGGGAGAGGGGAAACAGGGGGAGCGTACTAACTGCTTGTGAAACAAACCTTTGTCTCGGCTGTGTGTACCCCTGCTAATGATTATGAATTGAGACTTGCTTGGCTCGTTGTTGTGTTTTTGCTAGATGTTGAGATCTGAGCCTTGTCTGCAGCGTAACCGCTCCACTGAGCACTGAGAAACAGGTCTTGCTACAGCTAGCTGTTACTTATGCCATAAAGAATGAATTGGGCCCTGTTTCACTCACTGTTATTTCGCTGAATGCTATAAACCGTGCTGTTTTTTTGGGTTGCGATCACCCTTGCTGGTTAGTGCGAAACGAACCCAACTCTGGTCTTCCCTTAATCTGGCTGATTATTATGAAGTGAGCATTATTTGACAGTGATAAGTCTTGTTGACTGCTGCAACTCGAGCCTGGAAAAGGGCACTAGTGTTGTGCCGTCAACGTTCCTCCCCAGAGGGGGGGGAACAATAGATCACTTGACCGCATCTACCCTACTGGTCACTGAGGACCTCGGAAGAGGGCGCGGCGAAGTGACAGGCGCCGTAGCCCATGGTTTTAGCGAATAGTATGGAGCCCTCCCCGGGTTTCCCCACAACTTTGGCGCCGTTGCCGGGGAGGGGAGCAGCACCCCCAAGGCTCCGGCCTTCCTCACTCGACGGGGGTGCACGGGCTGATTAGTCAAACACTAATTAGCTTGTTTTCTTGATTAGTTTTATTTTTTATAATCATTTTATTTAGTTTTTTTTATATATCTCCCGATCCGCGCGTTTTCGAGCGAACCGCGCGCGGAGCAAAGTTCGCCCTCTCGTCAAGGCGAACGTTTTGAGATGTTTTTTGAAAAATTCTAACGGCTAGAAAAAAAAGTTATGGAATTTCTTGTATTTTTCTAATTAAAAATCCCAAAAATAAAAGATTAAAAATTCTAATTGGTTTTTCCTCGATATCTCCTGATCCGTGCGTTTTTGCGCGAGGCGCACCTAGAGCAAAGTTCGACCTCTTGTCTAGGAGAACGTTTTGAGACATTTTTAGAAAACTTTTAATGGCCAGAAAAGGAGATATAATTTTTTTTGTAATTTTCCAATTAAAATTCCGAAAATTATTAATTTTTTTTTATTTTAATTACGAAGAAAAGAAGCGAAATTAGGTGAACTCCCCCTGACCAAAGTTGGTCCTTGTATATTTCCCCACATTTTGAAACCTTAGTCGGGGAAAACGAACTCCGTTACGACGAGTCGTGACCGCCAACAGATAAGAAAAGAGAGGAAAGTTAAGTGGAATTAGTGATTTTCTTTATATTTTTATAAAAATAGAAGGGAAATAGAAGTCGGCAAAAGTGATCCGTTGGAACCCGGCTTTTAACTGACTACAAGCCGACGGAAAATTTTTTGCCTCGAAAAGTCGGACGTGGTGGCGTGCGGTCGCGCGCAAAACCCCAAAACCCTAATTGAGGGAAACCCTAATTAGGGAAAACCCTAACCCTAAGTTAGGGAAGGGCGCTGCGTAGCCGGGCGGAAACAAGTCTTTCTATCCGACCGGTGTAGGGAAAATTTTGTATAAATCCAGTTGACCAAATTGAAATTAATCAAAATTAGGAATTTTGATTTAATTAAATAATTTAAGTTTTAAATTTGTTTTAAGTAATAATTTGTCATAAAAAATCGATTTAAAATCAAAATAAATATCTAAAATTCTTCAAGAAAGGGGACTCGGCTTTATTTCGACTTTGTGATTTGGGAGATACTTCGCTTAACCCCATCCCAACGGGGGGAAGCAAAGTGTTGCCGAAATTTCTCTGCAATTTGTTGAATTTTATTGAATTAAATCTTAAATAGTTAAAGAAAATACTTGAAAATTAGCTAAAGATTGAGATACTTTTTCAGTTCTTAATCTTTCTTGATAAACATCTACCGACGGTATTTTGAGGCCTTTGGCCAAGCCCTATCCCGATGGCGGGGAGACAAAGTGCTGTCGAAATTTCGAAAAATCTCCTAATTTAAATTATTAATTCTTTTTTTATATAAATATATTGAAAACGATTAGGAAAATTAATTATAAATACGTTAGAAATTTGTTTCTTTAAGCGACTATCCTCTTGTTTCATTTGGCTTTAGTTCTGGGTAGGTAGCATTTGTCTGGGGACAATAGTCCCGAACCCCATCCCAACGGGGGGGAGGCAAAACGCTGCCGAAATTTTAGTAAAATCCCTAAATTTTATTTCTACCCCTAAAAAGTATCAAACTCGGCGGGCTTATATAAGTATTGATCCTTAATATATATAAACTAAGAAAGAAATTTTATCTTAACTTAATACATTTTTTTTAATTTATAATTGAAAAATACAAAGGAATTCCCTAGAAGGAGAAGGGAAAGAGACGTTGCGGTAACCTGGTTTCAGGTGAACCTACTAGCTTGTTCTCGAAGGCGTGAGGCAAGCGACGTGAAATTTCAGTTATTAATCTACACCTTCCGCTTGCTGTGTTCTCTCTAGCCGTCAGTTGAATGTGGCCGCGGATGCAAGTAGAGGTCTATGGGGCTACCATTGGCTGGGACTTAGAGCCCCCTGAACTCATAGAGGGGGATCTGGTCGAGCTCACGATCCCGGGACGCAGCATTCGGCACGCTAATGGCCAGTTTGCGTGGAGGTCCATAATCCTGTCCGAAGACGTGTGGCTTTGGATGTACAGAGAGCACCGGCCGGGGCAAGGAGTGGGCGTAGTGAGAGCCTACTTATATTTGGGACCGGGTGCAGTTAGGGAGGCCGTGGTGGGCCTCGCGATGACAGGGACTAGTGACGCAGTTAGCAGGGCGCTACGCTACCTAGGGGAAGAGGTAGCTACTTTCCGAGCGGAGGACGCGRGCGACCCGTTGACCCTATTTCATGCACGGCCTCCTCTTGATATCACGCGCGAGCTGGTGGTAGCACCGGACGGGTTTTTCCCGTACAACGTTAGGAGCCTGCGGGCGATAGTTCCGACGTTCGTAGTAGAGAGCGTCTTTGGAGGTATTGGTGGAGTGGTGAAGACATACCTGGCCTATCAGGATCTCAAGATCCTGGCGAGAAGGCCTGCCGACCTAGACTACATCTATTATTCGCTTGCGACCGGTGGGCCTCGTTGGGGAGACGAGAGGGTTCAGCTTATAGAGATGATCCGCTCGATAGACGACGAGTGGCCCCAGCCTTTGTGCGTTTGGGATTGGCTAGACCGTGAGCTTTGAGCAGGCCCTGAGTACGTGACTTGCATCGGGCGGCTCTTCTCAGACGACTGGGGGAGCTGATGGAGTGAGGACGTCGGGCGACCTCTGATATACGGCCATCAGTTGACGGAATACTACCAGGCCATAGGACAGGCACCATACCGCGTCGAGGACGAGTTTGACGACGAGGGTTGGGAGTGAGAGGACGACGAGGAGCTGTGGGAACCAGACTGGGTCGACCCAGAGAGWGAGGTTGACGAGGAGGAGATTGACGCTGTAGACGCCCATTTTCCCAGGATAGGAGTAGCGGTCCGGCCGTAGGAGGTAGAGGAGCGCACCAGGGCGACGGATGAGTGAGTCTGGCTACTGAACCTATTCGACCATACTGGACCTGAGTGCGAGAGTTGTTGGAAGGGTTAGCAACATCGAGTGATGGGGTGTATCAGAGGAAGTAGAGTGATGCTGACCGAGAGTAGGAGAAGAAATGAGGAGTGATTCAGCGGTCTGGTTAGCTTATGTTTTCTCACGAGAGTCCGAATCGTATAGTGTGAGGAAGCTTGTGGGACCCAGAGAGACGGCGGTTGGATACGACATACCACTTCCTGTGGCGTTAGAAGAGGCAGGGCGTGTACCGATACGATACTTGGGAACGTGGCTCGCTGAGGGGCTCTTCCTATGGACAGTGATACTACGAGACGAACGACCCGAAAGGACTCATGATCTAGAAGGGGTCGGACATCTAATAGCAGATAGAACACACAATTTAGAGATAGGGCTAACGCTCGCAGGGGCGAGCAGGAGTTGGTGGAGAASCGAGTTGTTGGCCAGAGTGATCGTTAATCAGCAATTGGCGAGACTCTCTGGAGGGAGGACGAGTAGGAGCTGCTTGGTATACGGTCCACCATATCCGACCCTCTACCCGAGAAAGGATTGGCGATTTGGAGTTCCTACCTTCATGATAGGGCAGACCTATGGGAGCGTGGATCGTTTGACGAGAGCAGTGGATCACACACTTTACGCGCTCTGGGAGGGCTTAGCGCCCCGCTTCAAGGAAGTATACTACGCCATTTGTGTGAGGTGGGGGCCGCCCAGTAGAGAGACGCTTGACGACATCATTGATGTTACGAGCTGGGTGGACTGTCTGAGGCCTATCGATCTGGTTAGGTACTGCAGGAGACGCGCAGAGATCGATTACGCGGGGCTAGAGGACGCGAGATTTCTCTTCGAGGTCGCAGCTTAGGGAATGCCGGGAAGGACGACCACGGCGATGCGTGTAGAAGAGCAACTAGTAAGCACAAGATACACTGTGACAGTACTTCTCCGAGCCTACGTAGAGGAGGACTTGACGGCGAGTGAGTGCAGACTACGAGCTAGGGATTTGATCCACGAGCGTAGAGCTGATGTACTGACGCAAGTAACCTTCCAGACCTCGATTTCCTATGATGTGATGATATGGTCTCATGGTTATATGCGCGCGGAGCACTACCACGATGAGACGGTAGCGGAGGCTAGAGCGAGGGTGAAAGGGTGAGCTGGAGAAAGATGTGGACTGAGTATGGAAAAGGAGAGTGAGGCAGTCAGAAGAGTGAGAAAGCGCGTTAAAGAACCACTCTTGAACCAGGTAAAGAAGTTGGGGGACAAGTTAAGGGAGATCTGGTCGTGTCAAGACGAGGGCAAGTTGCGAAGAGCTGAACTCGTGACGAGAGAGTTAGAGAGTCTGTTTAGGGAGGAGAGAGAGATTATCCAGGCGTGGAGATCAAACTTTTGGAGAAAGTAAAGGCTAGAAGCGTATCACGCGAAGAAACTAGTAAGCGATTTGCAGAGGGCGAGACAACGGAAGACAGAGTGATGCAGTGGAGTAGCGACAGGACATGAGCGGGACTGCACTACACACGACGGATTGGTACTCATTACATGTGGTAGGGAGACTGGACGGACCATTAGTGTTAATGATCATAGAGCTCTAGCTCCATACTAGGCTGTGCATAGTTGAGGAGGCAGAGTGTTTCCGCCGTGCTCTGCGTGAGGCAAGGGGGACAGGACTTTGGATTGGAATAGAAGGAGGACGGAGGATAAAATACGTACTCCAAGTAACACCCTTCGAAGGGCGGTCTCGGATAAGGGCATGGTACGAGACGACCAGAGAGGCTGAGAGGTTGAAGATAAGCGAAGCCAGGAAAGCTGGAGAGTTAGGGAGAGTTGTCACAGATGGTGCAATACTCAGGGTGTTAGCCGCTCACAACCGGTATTGGAAGGAAACGATGAAGACTTTAGAGGCGATAGACGAAGGAGGAGATAATGAGGACTTTGAGACATTTTATGACATATTGGAGCGGTCGGTGATGAGGTTAGAAGTCGTTATAGCACTAACTTACCTCAGCTGTTAGACAAATGACCTCGTAACCGTTGAGGAGATAAGGTAGTGGAAATAGAAATTGGAAGCTCTTGGAAGGATAAAGGAAACTAGAGAGAACGATGGGCGACTTTGGATGGCAGTATGAGGGCCTTTAGCGGGCTAACTGATTCAGACAGGGCAAGAAGAACTAGCAAGGAGGACGGAGAGAGACGCTCGGGGACTTTGAGGAGTATTGATCAGGAGACATTGGCTAGGTTTGGGATTGCAATCTGTCTCAAGGATAGAGGTCCTGTCACGGGCGTACTGTGGATTTGGACAGGCACGGCCTTGTTGACCGATCCCGAAGGAGAGGTTACTTAGACACAGGGATTCTTGGGATAGAGAGAGAACACGAGATCTGCGACCGGTACGGGATACTGGAGGTGGTAATCAAGGCAGTCGAGAGCTAAGATTGGAGGCGGACACGAGTCGTGATAAAGAAACAGGTCCGGGCTGCCGCGACTGTCACAGATCCGGGCTGCAGCGACTGTCATAGGGTCGGGTTGTAACAGTTGGCTAGAATACCTGACTGCATCTTCTGGCGGTCCAATGGAACCCGACACGATAGGGCCACAACCGACCACGGGCGAAGTAGGAGAGGAGTACAGGGCATCACCCGATCGAGCACTGAGGGATCTGAAGGAACGAATTAGGCAAGAACCACCGCTGAGATGGGCTGACCAAACCAATAACGGAGGGCCAGCAACAGAGCCGCAGGAGGCTCTAAAGACGGGTACCTCGAACGGACGGCGAGAAGCGACGAGGCGGTGCTCCCCCGAGTACGAGCGGAGGGACACCATAGCGGACAGATACAGAGACGACTGTAGAGAGAATTTGAGGGATTCTTATTGGAGGGACAGAGATAGAGACAGGGCGCCGCCTAGGCGAGTCTTCGACCCCTAGACAGGGGAGTCACATTCACTCCCTTACGAGAGCAAGGATCGCTGTATTATTATGCACAAGGCCTCAGAGCCTCCTACCTTCAGGGGTTATGGTATCACAGAATATCTGGAGAAGTGGGAGCTTCACGCCAGCCGGAATCAGTGGTCGGAGGAAGAGATTATAGAGAACTTCCTATTTAATGTGGACCCAAGTCTTGGTAGGGAAGTTAAGGAAGCTCGACCGAAGGATGAGAAATGGACTACGTATAAGGAGAACCTCGTTGAGCTTTACAAATTGGAGGATAACAAGTATTCCATCAAGGACCTTGAAACAATGACTCAAGATGAAGATGAGAGCGTACGGGCATTTGGGATGCGTTTCCAAAAGATCTTCGACGTGCTGATGAAGAAGGGGAAGATCTCAGAGATCGAGCGTTGTACTATCTTCATCGGACACTTGTCCAAAGGTAGGCAAAAGAGTATACTTAAAGATCTTCCGCGCGACAAGCTTGATTTCCCAGAAGTCCTAAAGCTCGCGATAAAGGCAGAGGCAGACGATTACAAAGACTTGGTGTGGAAATGGATGAGGAGACGTGGTTTCTCTCTCTACAAGGATTATGCCACTGATAGGTGTCCTGATTTCAAGGATTATCCCTGGTCGGAGAAGAATGAGGCCGTTGTTGAAGGAGTGAAGGAGATACGGGACATGGTGAAGGGATTAACGAGACAGGTTACAGAGATTGTGACCACCATAGGGGCCACGACCTACCGGGACAAACCTGGAGGGCCCTATTCACTTCGCTGGGACCGTAGGAACAACGATCCCTGAAGGAGTGTCGAGGATAGAAATCCTCGGACGCGGACTGATTATCGTACGAGGGGAAGAGAGAGAGACGATGAATCATGGCGACGTAGGGACGATGAGATAGACCGAGACCGCAGAGAACACGAGTTGTTTGTGCGAACAATGAGGCTAGATGATTACCAGTGAAGCCCTCGCTATGAGACCGATCGGGGTAGAGGTGACTCCCGCGGCCGATGGGAGAAAGAACACGGCCGACGAGATGGATATAGGGACGACAGATACGAGAGATCGGACCGAGATGGATATAGGGACGACAAATACGAGAGGCTGGGTCGAGATGGCTACAGAGGAAGTAGATATGAGAGAGGAGATCGGTGGGAACGACAAGATGGGTTACGCGGACGGTTTGAGCGCGGGGGAGATGCGAGAGAGCAGCGCGACAAGTCGCGGAGATGGTACAACCGAGGGGACCGACGCGATGAGTCACGAGGATGATATGACTCGGTGGACCGCCGGAATGATTTGCGAGGGCGGTATGAGCAAGGAGGGTCTAGAGGAGACCGGCGCAAGGATTCGCGCGGACGAAATGAGAGAGGGGGATATAGCGTCTCATCAGAACCATATCCTAAGTCGCCTGACCCCAAGGCGGCCAGGAGTTCGATCTCTAGTGGCGCAGACGACAGGCCATCTACTCTCAAGAACTCATGCGTCTACTGTAGAGGAGAAGATCATATCAAGAGGGATTGCCCGGACCTCAAATGGGCAATAGATGAGGGACTTGTCGTGCTTGACGACCGCAAGTACGTCAAGTGGGCAGATGATCTGGGAGATGTATCGATGTTTCCTTCGATGAAGGAGAATGTCGAAGCAAGGAGAATAAAGACKAGTAAGGGAATGGAGCCGGTCAGGAGCCAGAGCATCAAGATAATCTTTGAGGGGGATATCGCGACCACACCCATAAGGGTGGCAGCCACCAAGTCGGCAAGAGGGTCTACATTGAAGAAGACTGACACGGATTACGTGATGACGGAGAAGGACGGGCAGCGAGTCGATGGAGAGGAGGTTATTTTTTCGCCGCGAAAGTGGGGAGTGAAGAAGTTCTTAATGAAGAGTTCGCTGGACAAGATTGACACGGTCGAGCCACTGAGGAGGGCCCTTCGGCAACCAATGCAGTGCTCTATTCTGAAGTACCTGGCGGCATCGAAGTCGGCTCGTGATGAATTACAGATGATAACGCAGAAGACTCGTATACCTCTATCAGAGGAGGGTGAGGGGGCCCCTAAAGCGCAAGCTTCTACAGTAGCGGTAACGGGGGTGACTGCCAGAGCGGATCGCAAGCTTCTACAGTAGCGGTAACGGGGGCGACAGTCCTTCTCGATGGGATGGAAGGTGTGCCTCCAGACAAGTTTTATATACTTGGTAGCGGGCCGTAGAGACGATTATAAACGACGGAGCGATACTCGATGCTGTGATTGATAATGGCGGTGAGGCTGTCATCATAGACGAGGACCTGGCAGTACAAGTTGGACTGGGCCTCGATAGGTCATACCTATTCGAGATAGAGACGGCTGATGGGAGAAAGCAACAGATCACTGGGGTTTGTCACAAGGCAGCCATAGAGGTCCAAGGGGTAAGAGTGACCCTGCCTGTCTTTGCAGTCAAGAACTGTAGCTCCGACCTGCTCTTGGGTCGAACGTGGCTGAGCCACGTGCATGCGGTGACGATAGAGGGACCTGATAGGAGCCAAACATTGTCTATTAGGAAGCCAGACGGGACGCGGGTGATGATTGAGACAGTGGAGCCTCGGGACCCGAGGAACAGAGGAGCTCTCGCTGTGGGTGCGGGACCCAGTGATCAGATTAAGTTGTTACCTATCTCCGGCCGCGCGGTGCGATTTCGCGAGAAGAGATATGGACCACTGCTCACAGAGGAAGAAGGTTGGATCGTGGAGGTGGAAGATTTAGAGAGTCGGCTAATAGTGGACGACTATTCGTACCCGGAGGAAAAAGATGAGGAATTTGGCGGTGTGGTATCCGTGTCTTTTTTAAGGGCACGGCCCCCTATGGGGAGGTTACCCAAGCGACACAAGCGAGTAGCTCAAAAAGTTAAGCCAGCCGCGGTGGGCCGCGAGCGATCTGCACTGGAAGGGATATCGGAAGAAGAGATCGCGAAAGAAATCAAAGAAAGAAAGAGAAAGGAGCTGCAACGCCTAACGRAAGAGAGGATAGCAGGGATTGACATCGGAGGTGGGAATTTGACCCCACAGGAGCGAGAACGTGTGATAGAAATCCTGAAGACATGTGATAAGGCCATAGCTTTTAGTGACGCGGAGCGCGGTAGGATTGACCCTCGATATGCTAAGCCAGCGAGGATTTACACAATACCACATATTCCCTGGAATGACGGGGGATGGAAATAAGCCTAGAAGAAGAAGGAAGAAGCTATCACTTTCCTGAAAGAAAAGATGGTTTCCCATGTTGCGGAGCCGTCTGATAGCGCTTATGCTAATCGATGGTTCTTCCTACGAAAGCCGAATGGCAAGATCCGATGGATCCAGGACCTTCAGAAGGTCAACGTGGTGACGATACGAGACGTGGGCTCCGTGCCACACGCCGATTTACTGGCAGAAGGCGCCGCAGGTAGGTCGATTTATTCCGTCTGTGATCTGTTCTCAGGCTATGATGAGGTACCACTTGACCCTAGAGACAGGCACCTCACGGCTATGCATACGCCATTGAGACTAATACAGATGATGGTTGTCCCTATGGGTTGGACTAATGGGGTAGCCTTTCAGAGAGCCATGGTAGCCAGTAAACAAGGATGAGACAGAGGTTGTACCTGGAGTTAGAAGATTAGTCGAGCAACACCTAACAGATATTTGCACGGTACTCGAGCAGCTGGAAGATGCGAATTTAATAGTCGGCGGAACAAAGAGCCGATGGGCCGTCTCGACTATTAAGATCTTGGGCTTTATATGTGACTCGAGGGGACGCCGAGCGGATCCGGCGAACTTAGACAAACTTCTGAACTGACCCTCACCGTTACATAGCCTAACCGAGGTCCGACAGTTTCTAGGAGTGGTCGGTTACTGGCGTATATTCATACGGGGGTATGSGGAGAAGGCTAAGCCATTGAGGTTACTCCTTCGAAAGACTGAAAAATTCTACTGGGATTCTTCGCAGTAACTCGCAATGCAAGAACTTAAAGACGAATTTACTGAGGGAGGGCGCGTGTTGGGCGTGCCATTCTTTGACGATGGGACCAAAAGACCTTTTATAGTATCCACGGATGCTGGACCATGTTCAGTGGGTGGTTTGCTGTGTGAGAAGGACGCTGGAGGGAAGGAAAGACCGTTAAGATTTGAGAGTATGACACTTAATACGGCTGAGCGTTACTACAGTCAATTCAAGAACGAAGTGTTAGCYATTCTCCGGTGTTTAGACACGTTCAGACACTATATCTATGGGCGACGGTTCATCTTGAGAGTAGACCCCACTGCAGTTGCCTCTGTCCTCCAGAAGGACTTAAGTCAGACGGACCCGACCATCGCCCGATGGTTAATACGGATTCGGCTATACGATTACACGGTTGAGAGAGTATCTGGTACTAAAAATGYCGTGGCAGATGGACTTTCACGCATCCCTCTCGAGCGTCCGATAGTAGCTGGGGCTCTGACAATGGCAGAACCGAGGTCCGCCGAGAGATTTGTAGCTAATCTTTACGAGGGCAAATACCGAATAATCGGACTGTACCTGACGAGAGAGGAGAGTCAAGATTCAGAAATCCGGAGACAAGCAGCCCAGTACTGCCTTAGAGCGGGCCACCTTTTCCAAAGGTCAGTAGGGTCGGGAATGCCCTTACGAGTAGTCTGTGATCCTGAGGAGAGACA